GTGGCCAACAGTGAAAATCACAGTAAAAGGAGAGCTATTAGAACAAGTAACAAGTATTTCCTATCGAAGACACGTAGTAACAGATGGCGGAAGAGAAGAAACAGAAATCCAAAAAAAAGAGAATAGGAATGGCTAAAACTGTCTTCAGTATGATGCGCAAGTTACTGACAGCTAGAGAGATAAACAACACACTAAAAATGAAAATCGTCAAATGTTATGTATACTCAGTCCTGCTATATAGTGCACAATCGTGGACAATGGACAAGCAACTAGAAAATCGAATTGAGTCTCTGGAGATGTGGATATAAAGAAGAATAGGTCGTATTTTATAGAAACTAAAACAGTCCAAAAACTAGGTTCTTGAAAGGCTACAAATGAAAAGAGAATTACTGAAATAAATAAAAAAGAGACAACTGAAATACTTTGGCAACATTAGCAGATATAACACACTTTAAAAAAAAACCATACTGGAGGCAAAGGTCGAAGGCAATGGAGCAAAAGGTAGGCAACGGTGCTGTCAGCTTTCAAAACAGTGGTACCAGATTTCGCCCTAAGAAGCCCTAAAACCTGATACTTCTGGCTGGGTTCCCTTCGCCCATCAGTTTACCCACTTGTCTGTAGTGACCTATTTATGAGACCCACAGGTAATGCTATTGGCTGTGTTCATGCCGGTGCAAACATTTGGGTCAAGATATGAATACAGCATTTGTGGAAAAAGGGGAGGCGGGGTCATTTGAGTTAGGTAGCTTTTTTAAATGTCAAGTTCACATATTTTCCTGTAAGCCTCAGTGATAGAGGTCACAGGGTCACAACACGAGTCACCTGATATATTTCTGTTTTAGGCCCTGGGGAATGTATTCCATTTAATCTTCACTGTATTTGTATTAATCAAAATAAAAATACTAACATACATGTCTGTGGAGATGACCCAAGCCATGTTGCCCTAAATCCTTAGGCTCAAAGACATTTCCCGCCATCCTTGTCACGGCCCCCTCCCCACCCAGTCTGCCTACACCACAAAAGTGGTAAAAACAGACAGTAATTGCAGTTTTTATATAGCAGTCTTGTCAACAATTTAGAAGCTCTCTAGTCTGATACGTGTAGAGACACATCAAATAAACAAAGAAAAACAAATGAATTATTTAATATTTAATCAACCAATCATACACAGGGAAAAGATATAATAACATAGGCAGACAACTCAATGAGATTAAATACCTATGGAAATGTTTGTACAGCATAAATATAAATTAAAATACAATAATTTAGTTAGTAATTGGACATATAAACCAGGAAATATGAATTAATAGTAGCTATTTGAGTTGGTTCATAGCAATGGCAAAATAATAGTGGAATTAAAATTTATTAATATCTGGTGGTATGTTGAAGCTAAATGTACATGTTAATATGTTTCGAATTTTGCCATCACTGAACTTTGAGGATCACTGAACTGTTTATTTCTGAACGTATGCATTCATTATTCTATTTCCTTGGTAGTGGAGTAAGTAGCACATCGTCTGGTAGAGCACTGGGTGGTTTTTAATGTACTGTTATATGTCAAGCATAAGCTTTGTGTTTAGGGGGAAAAAACAGATGTTTAATGTGATAATTATAGTTCTAGTTGTTTTGATTTGGACTGGGATTTGTAGTTTGTGTGCCTTGTCTAACTTTTACTACTGATTAGACTTTATACAGAACATATCCTGTCTGGGTTAAGACACTATTGGTCTTAGCTCCCGCCTAACTAACCTTTTATTTTTTTTTTCTTGTTACTGTGGTAGCTTGAGCATGGGTTGGCTTCCACTCACCACAAATGTTTGTTGGAGCTCTTGCAAGCTTGGAGTAGAAATAGGTTCAAGGAGTAGATTTTTATATTATCCTTTATAGTTATCTCCTCCCTTTCCTCTAATACAGATTCCTCTTAGGCTTTGCTTCTAGTACATCTTTGAATACCAAAAATTCATCTAGAATGACTGGTTAGTACTCATGTGAACTATGAATTTTGGTACATCTTACAATTAAACAAGACATACTCAGGTTCAACAACATATTAGGCCTCTTGTGATTTCCATCCTCCATCTTCTTCTTCTACGTTCATCCTTAAAAGGGTGTTTGACATCGTGTTTAATGGTTAGACACCCTCCACAAGTGCCTCAATCTGTCCTCAGCACATCCCTTAGTGTGTAGTGACTGATGACATGTTTTCTGTTCTTCGGTGCTCTTCTTTATTTACCAACATACAGATTATATCTTGATCATCTAGGACAAAAGTAAAAACTCTGTGTGACAAGAGTTAAAGTAACGCCTGGCTAGATCATGAGTTAAAATATCAACTGACTTGGACAAGTTTATATAGCAGCAATCTGGAGAAGTTAAAAATAGAAAATTGACTAGGACATAAGTTAAAATAACAGCTGTCCCGAGGAGATAGAATAGAAAATTAATCAGGATACAAGTTAAAATATCAGCCGTATAGAGAAGTTGGACTAAAAAACTGACTGGGCATAAGTTAAAATAACAGCTGTCTGGAGGAGTTCAAATAAAAAATTGATTGGGACACAAGTTAAAATAAAAGTTGTCTGGGGGAGTTGAAATAAAAAAAAATTTGGAACACAAATTCAAATAATAGCTGTATGGAGAAATTAGAGTAACAACCAATTAGGCATAATATAAAATACCAGCTGTCTGGAGAAGTGAAAATACAAATAGTCATTTAGCACAAGTTTAAATAACGGCTGACCGGAGAAGCAAAATTAAACAAGTGACTAGGACATAAGCTGTCCATGTCATTTGTTTAAGTAACTATTAAAATTGCAAGATTTGCTGTTTAACCACCGACTGAAGCTCAGCTATCACTAAATAAACATTTAACTTATGCAGTTTCCACATAAGGATGGTAGACTATGGTTTCGCTGCCTGAGCTATTGCTTAATTGGAGCCCTGTTAGCTCTATTTTTTTCTGTGGAATCCTTTTCATGTGCGCAATTGTTGCGTCGTTTTGTTCAGTATGGTCGGTGGCCTGTTTACGAGTGAGCTGGTGAAATAATACCTTATGTAAGAATTCAACACGGATGTATAGTAACCAACTTATCCTGCCCGTCTACTTCCATTAACAACAAACTGCAATTCTGGTGGCGACTGTTGGCTTTGCGGCCTCGAGGAACTGAAACACACATTTACTCAGTGCACATATTAGTGGATTATTCCAGAACTAGTTGTTTATTCACCATTTTTTCATATGCAACAGTGAGGGACATTTCATTTGATTCGCACCGGCACAGGAACGGAGCAAGTATGGGGAAACCCGATTACCGTGATATTAAAACCTCGACTAACTAAACTAAACAAACAGTGATGTTTGATGGCACACAGGTTAGTGAACGCAATCCTCACAATACCAGGGTATGATTTCCACGGCAGTTGGTGGTTTAGAAAAAGATTGTTCTCTTAGCTTCCATACAGGAATATGGGAGTGGCATTGTGGAAGTGATCTGAATCCCACCATGTAATATTCACAATGACATCACTGAATACACAAATATCTATTGCAGCCAACATTGATCATAGAGAGGGTACACAATAATATTAATATTATACAGCAGGACTCCAGGAACCTGAAGAGGGAGGGAGGATCAGGCACTTTGAGTCACACCCCCCCTCCCCCTTGCCCCCTTCAAGAATTGTGGAGAAAAATAAGGGGGAGGGGAGGGTGCTCCACCTCTCTTAACAATTAAGTGGCTACCATAACCTTGCACAGAAGATCTCTTTCTAAGTATTTGCTGATACATTTGATATTATTTCAAACATATTATTATAAATTTGTCATTCAGCACTGGAAAATATCGTGGCGACTGGAAAAACAACGAACAGCACTACTGCCCTAGAGCAATAGGCAGACCGAGAGTACGATGGATAGACAATATATCAGAGATCCTGAGGCAACACGGACTAACAACAACACGTGCAACACACCTGGCCCAGGATAGAAAACTGCGACTCCCCACTACGCTGTGAGGCAATTGTGGACAAGACAAGACAAGACTGGAAAAAATCACTGGTAGAAGAGGCAGATCAAGAGAAATGATGGTGGATGGCTCAAGACAGTGGCATGGAGGAATATCATCAGTAGAATTGATCCAGAACACCAAAGAGCGAGAGCTGTGGAGATGCATGAATGCACGCCTACACCAGCTGGCCAGGTACTTACCAGCAATTAACTCCCAAAGCGAATTGGTTACTTGCATCCAAAGGAAAAAAGATCTATATTTTCTATGATCACATTATGAGAAGGAGAACACTGGGGTACGTAGTCACAGTGGGAAAGTTGGTGGGGGAAAGAGGCAGAAAGAGACCAAGAGAGAAAAAGGTGGATAGTTTGATATCATGGCATGGGAGATCATCGGTGTCAGAACTGACAGATAATAGACGAGACAGAAAGCAATAGACATGACTTCCAATGCTGCACAGCATGGACTATGAGAAGAAGTCTGCTGCAAATTATTATTACACATTTGAATTAGACCTCTTAAAAGCCACACGAGAACCCCCTGTTTGTTCTTTGTGTTAGCATCTCTTATATACAGTATCTAACATTAGAAAGCACCGTGTTTATTAATATCCTACCCCAAACAGGGGAAATTCACAGGTCACGGGACAGTCTAATATTTCAGGGGGTGTTGCATGCAGTCGTGGGACCTAGGCTGCACTCTCTCGTGGGATGTAGGTGGGTTGGTGTTAGGGCCAGTTCTAGATGTTTTGGGGTCGCTAAAAGCATCAGAAAGCCAGGAATCTTAGTCTTTCCACTTTCTATAATGTTGGACTGTTCTGTGACATCATCTGGGGTAGGATATTAATAAAGTACCGAAAGCACATTCTGCTGGAGTAACCAGTCTGTACTGATGATTAAGTAAATATGATTGATTGTGACGAACAGTTTTTAAATGTCTGAAAGTAATCCAAAGAAGTAAGTTAGTTTCTACTGCATACTACTCTTTGTTCTGTCATGAGCGAAAGGCATCTTCACTGGTGAAAGAGAAATGCTTGAAGATGTTTTGGTTCATTGTTTTGAGAAGTGCTGCATCTGGAGGCGTCAGTCTGGCTTTCTCTGCTGTGAACTCTGAGTCAAAGTTCGAACTGTCGCTTGCGCTCTTCTGCAATTAGAAACATAAATTATTTTATGAAATTTGGATGTTTAGTTTCATTTCAAGATTTAATTTCACTCTTTCAGTCCATGAAATAAGGGGGAAATAGTTGATTGAGAACTCTGGGTTCTCAATCTGGGAGACCGAGGCTAGAATCTTCAGTAAAATTATGGAATTTTTTCTGTCAAGGGCCAAAGTCTGAGCTCTCTGTGTAGTTTCTGGGGGTCCCAGTGTGTGTGTGTGTGTGGGTGGGGGGTTGTGGGGGGCGAGAACAGGCCCAATGCATGTCGTAAAAGTCGACTAACTAGAGGCATTCTTTCGGAAGCCAATACTGGAGAGGTAAATGGAGCCAATCTTGATGCATGGAAGCAAGCAATGAAAAGCCAGAAGAGTATTAGGAAACTATGTGAAGGCAGTTGAGATGTGGTTTTAATTAACGCATGATAACAACCGCAAGAACAGATAACCGGTAATGAAAATGTCTTAATAGAAATGAACTAACAAAGAGAACTTGTTGCTTTCATCAGAAAATGGCAAACCACAATAATTTGACACATCATGAACTCTGTAATCTCAGACAACATGTACTTACATAAACACATTTTCATAGTGAACATATATTTACAGAGAATATATACTTTCAGAAACAATATACTATGTATACGCATATATAGGCCACAGTATTTTAACAGAAAATCATTGATGAATAATAGGGTGTGGTTTCTTCTTCTTCAGCATTCCATGCCCTTGAGGTTCATTGCTGCAGATATCATCAGCCCCACTCATCTCTTTGGTTGGCCTTAACTTTCGACTTGGTAACACAAAATGTCTGCAGTTCTCTCTGGAAATTATCTTTCCATCGTCTTCTTGGCCTGCCTCGTGGTCTACGACCATTCATCTCCCTTGTGTATAAAGTTTTTACCTCTCTGTCATCTGACATTCTTTCAATATTGTGTGGCTATATTTGATATATTAGGCGTACGCGTCACTTTTACAAAATTGAATACTAAACAAGAGTTGTATCTGCATTTCTAGTTGCACCACATGCTGTAGTTGTGTGTCTTCTGTGACTTAAGAACATGTCTTTGAAACCAAACAGGTTCTCTTTGTAGGTGTCAGGAAGTCACTACGCCACTGTTGTCTGCCACCAAATCAAAAGGTAATTTTGAGTCATAAAGAGCCTACCCCAGCCATCATCATCAATACTCATGCCTAGTGTGGTACATGAGGCTCAGAGAGGACTTTCCATGCTTTTTTGTCCTGTGCGACTTCAGTGCAGTTTTTCCATGTCAAAGATGCCGCACTTAGGTCACTTTCCATCTTCCGTCTCTATGTTGTTTTGGGGCACCTTTTTTTTGTGTATCTCTTTCCCTTTAGTATCTATATGAGAGCTGTTTTGGCAGGTATATCAGGATTCATTCTCATAACGTGGCCAAGCCATTTCCATCTTTTTTTTGTTACTATACTGTCCAGAGTTTCTTGGTTTGTGACTTTATGTAGCTTAGTGTTTACCCCAGGCATAACTGGCTTTATAATGACTTGCACATAACACACTAGTTGCAGCTTAAATTTACAACTGTAATTTGTTCCTATAGGTCACTCCTTCATTGCTTCGATATACTACTGTTTCAATTTTGGTCTCTATACAAATTTAGAAAATAATTCTTTTCCTAAAATGTTCTTCTCAGAAACTGGGCACAGCCTATACATGCGTGTGTCCTACACATGTGTAAATATGGTACTTACAGAAAACATATACTCACATAGAGCTTAGAGAGAACATATTCCTGCAGAGAACATATAATTACAGAGAACATATACTTACACAGAGCTTACGGAGAATATATTCTGACAGATAACACATAGTTACAGAGAACATATATTTACACAGAGCTTACAGAGATCACATTCCTAAAGAACATTTATTCACAAAGAACATATACTTACACAAAATATACACTTTTAGTGAGCACATGCTTACAGAAAACATTTACTTACAGAATTCATATTTAGGAGAGCATTAATCTACACTAGAACACATATGTCCAGTGAACATGCGGCCAGATAGAACACACATCTCCAAAAAACATACGGCCATACAATACGTATGTACTTACAATCTTAGGTTTATATGGTGGGTTCATCCGTCGAGCCTCTAGTGTCTCCCAGTCAATGTTACGGAAAAATGGGTGAGAGTTAATTGGTCCAGCCGGACACGCAGGCATGCCCAATCTTTCAGAAGGATTGCGCTCAAACAGCTGTATGGATGTAGAGGATTATGAAAATGTGCAATATAACAGTTACAACTGATTTAAGACAATTACTGACAGATACAGGATCTGAGGTCTGAGGTTTTGAACAACGGATCAACATCATTGAACATGGATGGTAACCCATAAGTGCTTCGTTTTACTTTTAATTAAAGTCTGAGTCCAAAGAAGCTCAGCACAGTACACAGGCTCTATAGCACCAGCGAGGATCCTTAAATACTCTTGGTAGATTTTTAACTTGAAATTTTGCTGGGGCAGGGCCGTTAGGCTACATTTTTCGATTTCCAACTACCAAGAGATTTTTTGAGTGCGCAACAATGCACACGGGCGTCCGATCTCACTACCCAAAGACCACAGGAAATGACTAAAGTCCAAGTCCACGTGAAAACATACCAGCCCTTATCGGGGATTGAACCCAGAACCTCTAGCACTCGAGGCGGATATTATTCTTCTAGACCACGCAACCCCTACAGGATCATTATTATCAAGACAAGAATATGAAAAGAGGATAATTATTACAATTAAACAAAATCAATACAGGACATTTATTATTAGGACACAAAATTATTGCAGGATAATCATCGCCATGACAAGAATATCAATACAAGATTGTTATTTCCATGACAAAAATAATAATGCAGGATAGTTATTACTAGGAAAATATAATAGTGGACAACTGTTATCACATTACAAATTTAATACAGGACAATTATTATCATGATGGAAACATCAACACAAGATAACGAAATATTAACACAGGTTACTTATTGTCATGATAGAAAAATTAATGCAATATAATTATTATCATGACAAGAAAATTAATACAGGATAGTTATTAAAATGACAAGAATAATTATTATTTGATATCTATTATCATGCAAAATTTTTTTTATTTATGTCACGATAAAAGCATTAAAACAGATAATTATTATGATGATAAGAAACTTATACAGGACAATCATTATCATGATAAAAACACATTAATTAAGGATAATCATTACAATGACCAAAAAATTATTACAGGATAATTATTGTCATGACAAGAATATTAATATAGGATAATTATTATCATTTAACTAATTGTTGCAACCAGTACCAAGCTGTTATATAGGCATATTGGGCACTGTCCAAAGAACCATACCAGAAAGTGTAGGCGGTAAAGTTTCATCATCTCACACGATCACATAAATCAAGGACCAGGCTCGTTAAGCTAAAAATGTACTAAATGTTCTTCGTGTTGTTCTTCTTCTTCTGCTTCGGCTTCTTCTTCTTCTTCTTCTTCTTTTCTTCTTCTTCTTCTTCTTCTTCTTCTTCTTCTTCTTCTTCTTCTTCTTCTTCTTCTTCTTCTTCTTCTTCTTCTTCTTCTTCTTCTTCTTCTTCTTCTTCTTCTTCTTCTTCTTCTTCTTCTTCTTCTTCTTCTTCTTCTACTCCTTCTTTTTTTTTCTTTTTCTTCTTCTTCTTCTTCCTCTTCTTCGTGTTTCATGGCTGTAAAATCCAGCGGTAAGATTTGGTTGTTCTTCCACTTCTGAACTTTAGTCTTGTTTTTTTTCCGACAATGACCAAAAAACGTATAGTTACGTAGTTTTCCACTGTAGTCGTTTATTGAAAATGACCAAACAACGTACAGTATGGTAGTTTCCCATTGTGTTTCTTCTTGACAATGACCAAAAACCTATAGTAGTTAGTCATTGTAATGGAATTGATACCAGAGCATCAAATCCCGAGATCTCCTGAGGTGCATTAACACCTACGCCAGCAAACAACAAACTTGATGATGATGATGATGAGATCAAAATGAGTTAAACAATGTTTTGAGATTTAAGAAAAAAACAAACTAGGAGTCAACTTACCAAGCTCATTATTGAGGTAGCTTCCCGTGGTATTGAGTGCGGGTATCTGGGGGTGTCGTGCAAGATGGAGTGGAAGAGATCATCTTCATCGTCGCCATGGAAAGGAGACTGGCCAATCAACATCTCATACAGCAACACACCAAACGACCACCAATCAACAGAGGAGTTGTATTTGGCTCCTTTGAGAATCTGCACGAATTTGAGATCTGACATTGGTCACAAAGTCGTGTCTATTACTGACAACACTAATTGCGTGTCAGTGTGTATGTGTGTCATGTCAGTATAGTCAAGCCCCCCCCCCCCCCAGTGATTTGCAATGGTTAGCACTACCAGCGATCATGTTAAGACATAATTGTGTGTGTGTGTGTGTGTGCTACTAAAAAGATTCTTTTTGATGAGTACTGGCACACTTCTTAGACATATTAATTAGGCTGAGTAATTTCCTGTTCAGCTGAAATGCTATAGAAAGATTCTCATAATATCTTGGATAAAGAAGAAAAGAAATACAGACATCTTGAAAGATCTTATCATCAAGGAAGTTAGGCTAATAAACAGCATCCTGTCTCGGAAGCTGAAATATTTTATTCATATCAAGGGCCACGACGGATTGGAAAAAATAATAGCAGAAGGTATGGTACAAGGAAAGAGGGCCAGGGGCCGACCAACACGAAGATGGGCACAGGATATAAGTGACTCCTTGATAAAAGACTCTTCGAGTATGAAAGTGAATGAGGCGGGAGAGCAGGCGAGAGACCGAGTTTCTTTCAGGCAGACCGTGATGAGAGCGATGTTCTTCAAATGACCTGCTACATGATGATGATGATGAATTTCCTGTTAGATGTCCTAACTCCTCTTTCCATTTGTTTCATATTTAAGTCCCTGTTTTGTAATTCTTTGTTCACTTCCTCTAAAAATGTGCACAGTATATCACCATCTTGTTTCTTTGAAAAATGTTGACACTAGTGGTGGTCCGAATCTCTCTCTCCTCTCTCTCTCTCTCTCTCTCTCTCTCTCTCTCTCTCTCTCTCTCTCTCTCTCTCTCTCTCTCTCTCTCTGTCTCTCTCTCTCTCTCTTGTGCTCTTCTTAATTTCAAGGCACTAATTATTAGTAACGTTTACAAATTCCCCTGAAACATTGACTTTTACAGCTAAAATCGAAAATAAGATAGATACAAGCATTGGAAATGAGATCTTTCAGAAAGATAAAACATGCAATGGTACGGACATGTAATAAGACCTAACGGTCTGCAACGTCCTGTAAAGGATATGCAACTAATTTTTACCTTTGTTGTGATGTCCTGGTACGGACTGACGGAGATTCACGCCATCTCTTATTGTAAGATATGTTGTTGTTTTCCTGAACCAGTAGTGACTGCGATAAACCAAGGCCCTCTGTAATTTATGTTAATTCACTAGAATAAATGCGGAAAATGAAACCAAAACCGACCACAGATACCAAGTGATTCAGACTGTTAAGAAACTACTTGAGGATAGAAAGTATTGATAATATAGACTTAGTTCTAGTTGTGATAGATTTTATTACTTTTATCAATGGCCACGTCATCCCAAAAATGTGAATCATCTTATGACAGCAATCGCATGTATAATAGTAATTGGGAGAAAACATACCCACAACTCAAAAATCTTCAGACGGATCAGAGGCAGCATATTGTACACTCTGTAACACATCAAATCATGAAAAAAAAAAAAAAAAAAAAACGAAAAAACAGCATAAAAACTCCGTCAAAAAAGTCAGTCACATCTTATTGCAACAATGACTCCTAGGCAAAGCAATGATAAAGTTAAAGAAGCAGAGTTGCAACTTGCTGTAAGCATGACCTGCCATTGTGCCATACGCACAATTGATCATTTAAGTGAAATTTTAAGAGCGCATGGTCGGGGGAGTACAGTGGAGCACATACAGTTGCATAGAACTAAATGTTCATGCATAATAAAAAAAAATATCACATCGAAGAGTTAGAATTGTGAAACAACAATTCTGGTTCTTTTGCCTTGACTACAAGTAAGCTGACTATGGAAGTCATGGCAGTGACCAAAGCAGTAACATGGCTGGAGAAACAGACGTTCATCCGTGCATGCTTTCTCAGTGACTCAGCATGTTCAGGAAGATAAAGATGGGCTGGGTCTGAATACATTGGTTGGAGTCTCTGAAGCGGTACGCAGTTGTGCAATGAAATGAGCAAGCTGACAGGCTTGCAGGTAAAGCTACTGTAAATAAGTAAAAGACGTTTGTGAGAACCAAGTTATAACTGTGATTCTGCAACCATGACCAGATAGCAAGAACAGCAAGTTAAAAGAAGCACTATCCAGGATACCACAGAAGACCAAGAAACCAACACAGAACTGATGTCATTATCTGCCAGAGTCAATGACAGAGACATGAGTGGGTAGTTACCTCAGGGGCAATGTAGTCAGGGGTGCCACAGAACGTGCTTGCACGATTTTCACCAAAGATGTTTTCTTTACACATGCCAAAATCTGCAATCTTGATGTGTCCATCCTTGTCGAAGCAAGACATTGTCCAGTTTCAAGTCCCTGGAGACATTGTTGCAATTATAGTTGTCAGTATATGTATATAAAAAATATAGTCAGTAAGCTGAAGTAAAGGACAGTTTTCATGCCTTCAAGAAACATACACAGACAGAGAAATATCAGACAGACAAAAAGAATAAAGATGGATAGACAAGATACATAAAACACACATAGACAGACAGATACGCAAAGGCTCAGACACAAACACAGACATACTACACATACACACATACTTTAAAATGTACCTGCAGAAACACACACATACATACATATATATAAAACAGTCTACATCATACCACATAAATAAAATATATGACTATTACTTTCAAAATATATTCTTTAATATATTCTGCACATCCAATGCTTCATTAGGCAATAAACATTTTGTGTATCCGAAACCCTTCTCTGCCTGATAATTGATTGAATGCTTGTACATCCGCATAATTACATCAGCGAGAGCTGGAAAAGGTGCATTTAAAAGCTCTTTAGATACACGTCTACAGCTTAGTTATGACGTCACCTTCGAAGTTGCATGTAGCCAGATGCTCAGAAAACATCTGCAATTTACAGCCAAAATATTGATCCAATGGCTGTGATCCCAGTCAACGGCTAGCGCTATTTTAAATGCAGGTGGCCTGATGATTGAGAATAGATAGGTGGCCGAGCTTCACTGGATCATGCCATGTAAGGCTGTTAGTTAATGGAACAATAATCTTCAGTATACACTGGACTATTCCATAAGCGCTCAGATCCCATCTTTAGTATATATCTCAGCATGTGGCCACTTCTTCTTCTCTTCTTCTTCTTCACTTCCTCTTTTACCGATGTAGGTGTCGAGGGAGATTTAAGGTTCTGTTTCTGGCTCTTCTGGCCGCCTCGACCATAGGCACATCGTGCTGTTGTAGAGCTTCTCTGATGTTATCCTTCTATATTGTTCTTGGTCTACTTCTTGCTCTACGACCTTCTTCTCTTTCCATGTATGCTTTGTATGGTATGGTGTCACAAGGCATTCTCTCTAAGTGGGCAAACCATTTCACTTGCTGTCTTTGTATGTAATTTAGAATTGGTTCTGTGCCAACTTTTTCTCTTATGATCTCATTCCTGATCTTATCTCTTATGGTCACTCCTACAGCCCTTCTCAGACATCTCATTTCCATGGTTACTAATTTTCTTTTATGGTTTGTTGTGAGTGACCATGTCTGGCACTGGTAGCACAGAGTTGGAATAAATATGCTTTGAATAAGATGTCCCTTTGTGCTGATTGGGATTGTCTTATGCTGTAAGAGGGGAGCTAGCTGTCCCAATACTTGGTTTGCTTTACTGCATCTAATGTTAATTTCTTTATCCAATTTCCCATCTTCGGTAAATGTAGTTCCCAGATATTTAAACTCAGATGCCTGTTTAATGCCTTTGTTCTCTATTGCCATGTTTAGATCTGTCTTCTTTTTTTCCTACTGACATTACTTCTGTCTTTTCAGTGTTGATTCTCATATTATTTGTTTTACATTCTTCATTCATAGATGTTAGATGTTGTTGCAATTTCATGGCTGTATCTGCTATCAAGGCCTGATCATCTGCAAAGAGTAATTCGTTGATCTTACTAACATTTTCATTCATGGGCTTGGCATTCTTGCACATACTGTCGATGTAGGTGATAAACAGCAGTGGTGATAAGACACACCCCTGTCTTACTCCAGATGTTACTGTGAATGGATGAGATGTTCCCTGATTTATTCTAACTACACTTCTACAATCCCTGTATAAACTTTTGCACACTTCGATGAGATGTTTGCTTACTCCATATCTTGCCATTACTTTCCATAATAATTGTCTGTCGACTCTGTCAAATACCTTCTCCTGGTCTACGAATGCCACACATAAGTTCTTATTGTATTCAATGTTCTTTTCTATTAGCTGTTTAAGTGTGAAGATTGCATCTGTGCAGCTTCTATTTCTCCTAAATCCCATCTGTTCTTCTGCCAGCTGTGGTTCTATTACTGGTCTCAGTCTTGTTTCTATTATCTTGGCATATATTTTACCAACGTGGCTTAAAAGAGAGATGCCTCGGTATTGACCGCATTCTCGTTTGCTTCCTTTGTTCTTCCACAATGGTATAACTATTGCATGTTGCCAATCAATAGGGGCAGTTTGTTGTACCCATGCTGCATTAAATATTCTGTGAAGCCATCTGATGCTGCTTTCACCTGCTGTTTGAATTATTTCTGTTGGTAATCTATCAGCTCCTGGTGCTTTATATTTGGGAGACTGTCTAATGACTTTTTCTATTTCATCCATTAGTATGTGTGGTTCTAACACTGTTGCTCTGTGCTCTTCGGTTGTTCTTTCCTGATGATCTCCTAGAGGATTAAAGAGCTCATTGAAGTATTCCCTCCATCTTTCTGTTATCTCGGGTGGATCTATCAATGGCCTTCCTGTCTTATCATTAATTATTTCAGTGAGGTTGTAGCTCTCATCTCTTTTCCGCATATTTTTAACTACTTTGAAAAATTTTCTGCTGGCTGTTTTCTCATTTTCTGCTAATGATTCACCGAAACGTTCCCAGGATGCTTGTTTTGCTTTCTTGACTCTCCTGTTGGTTTCTCTCCTTTGCAGTCTATAGTTTTTATAATCTTCTTCTTTCTTTGATTTTATCCACTGTTTATATAAGTCCTTTTTCTTTTTAATTGCGTCTTTTACTTCTTCGCACCACCAAGGTGAATATTTGTTTTTTCCCCGTCTGTTTCCACTCTTCCGTTTTCCACATAATTCTTCTGCAATACTAAGCATAGTGTTTTTATATTTACTCCATTCTTCTTCAATATTGCCAACTACATGTGGAAGTTGTTTGAATGCTGTCTCTACTTTCTGTTGTAACTGTTCTTTTACTCCTTCCTGTTTCAAATTTGCTGTCTTGATGAGATCCTTGTTTTTTGTTAATTTCTTTCTGTGTTTCTTTAATGTAAGATGTTTTGCTGTTAACACAACTATTTTATGGTCAGTGTCACATAGACCATTAGGGATTGCTCTTGAATCAAGAATTCTCCTTCTTCCTTGAACTTTGGTAAGTATAAAGTCAATGTGGCCACAGATAACACCATTTTTGTGTTGGTTTTCTATTCTTCTTAAGCTACTTTTATAGTGTTCATGTCTGGCAACAGCTCTTTTGACATGACATTCTTATAGTCTTGTCAAGGTTGCTGATTCCCCCTCTTCTCCTCAATCACCTTCTTGTCCTGCTTCTTTGAGAGCACTGAGAAAATTAGCCCTGGTCCATTGCTTTTACTGTGTCTACCGTGGCCCTGTCAGCAATCCAGTCTACACACTCCTTCCCTCTTACCCCAGAGTGTCCTGGCAAAAACATTTGTATTTGGTTATATGTTGCACCCCGTTCGTGTTTCCTGCTGGGCCTCAAATTCTGGCCTGTACATATGGCTATCTAGAACGAATGTGCATTTTTGTTTAGATTATAACCTAAATAGCAAGGAAATACTAGTGACCATAACATCAATAGTTTGTAAATAAATTGTTTGTTGATGGCAGAAATGTGAAACAGCATGTCGACTGAGATAGCGGCAGTTATTTTGTAAGTGAAAGAATGAGCAGAAGAGAAACAAGAAGAAGATGAAGGGTATGCAGAGGAAGTAGAAAAAAAAAAAATAAAAAAAACAACAAGAAACTGAAAAAATTTATAGTGGATGTAGAAGCAACAAGAGAATGCATAAGATACAAATTTTTACCCCCCCCCCCCCCCCACAAAAAAAAAAAAAATTGTTTCATTATCACCAAACACATAAAGAAATACCCTAGAACTACCTGTATATAATACCATTCTTGTGTAGAAACTGCAGCCCACACAAAATCTCTGCTGCATAAAACCTGTAATAGAACAATATCATTTATTATCATTAGTCGAGAAAATACAAAGAAAGAAATTATGACAAGCACTGGCAAGGCATCAAAAACTTTGAATAGCTTGAAAAAATATCGAACTCTAAATTGTATAGTTCTAAAACTAAGCTTTGTATTTTCAGTTGTAATGTTATTACAGTTTTAACATTTGCAAGTGAAAGTTGAAGAACCACTCAAGTTTGGAAAAGAAATTAAATGCATTTGAAAACAAATGTCTGGAGAAAATGATGGAAACAAAATGGAATGAATTCAAGAAGAGTGAAGAAACAAGAGAAGTGTCTGGACAACAACTGGTATCGACAGTTTTAAGACAGAGAATATGGCGCTACATTGGACACAGCCTGAGAAAAAGTCAGCAGAGAATCACCAAACAGGCATTAAGGAATTAGGGAGGCAGAGAATTAAGGGATTAGGGAGGCGGGGAATTAAGGGATTAGTGAGATGGGGAATTAAGGGATTAGTGAGATTGGGAATTAATGGATTAGGGAGGAGGGGAATTAATGGATTAGGGAGGCGGAAAATTAAGGGATTAGGGAGGCAGGGAATTAAGGGATTAGGGAGGTGGGGAATTAAAGGATTAGTGAGATAGGGAATTAAGGGATTAGTGAGATTGGGAATTAAGGGATCAGGGAGGCGGGGAATTAAGGTATTAGGGAGATGGGGAATTAAGGGATTAAGGAGGCGAAAAATTAAGGGATTAGGGAGGCGGGGAATTAAGGGATTAGGGAGGCGGGGAATTAAGGGATTAGGGAGGCGGGGAATTAAGGGAATAGAGAGGTGGGGACGCACAAAGGAAACCCTAAGATGAACGTCGATGAGAGAGGCCAAAGCTGCTGGACTGAATTCCATCCATGATATTGAAAAGATTGTACAGGACAGAACGGACTGGAGAATTAAATTGCGAGCCCTATCTGACAAATAACGTCACAACAGGAGAATGAATGAAATTATAATCATTGTCTTATAAGGGTGAGGAAAAGACGTCTGCAGTGGATAGGACGCACACTGGAAAACCTGATACCAGCACTGGAATCCACTAGGTAAAAACGTCAGTGGTCATTTTGTTTTATTACATGAGGTTGCAAACTAGCCCCAGAATATGCATGCTGAATTTTTATTAGGTAAAATGTAGGCTTGTTATTGCATTACACAGTCAAGACTCATACCATTGAAACAAAGAAGACATAATCTATAGATTGTACTATTCCGGGACCTCTTTTGGGGTTGGGGGGGGGGGGGAGGGTGTAGACCCACTGTTCTTAAACGAGGGTGTTGTAAAAGTTGACTAACTAGGGGAGTCTCCTTCAAAGTCAGTTCATCTGCTTGAGACGCAAGGAACCAACAGTCTGCTAACCAAATAAGTCATATCTATAAAAGTCCAAAATTAAAATGAACAACCAGAACTTTTCACCGGAGTTTACAACCGGTGCCCAAATGCTTGATTGTCATTTAACACCACCAGGACATCACACTAAGCAATAAACACCCGGTGACACAAAGTGCCACCACTTGGATTAGGATCGCCTGGGGACAGGACCCAGAAACCCTGTTTAACTCATTGGTTGGGTTATATTAGGGCTTCCAAGCAACAGCCAGGGAGGGGCTTCAAAATAAAGAAAAAATGCGTCTCACACAGGGACGGAAAATGTACGATTTATACAGCTGGTACCGTGACAAGCACAAAGACAAGATTGCACTTATTATTGCACAGCGTCAGTGCTGGGTTAAGATATCATCTAGACAAGCTACAACTTAGAACCTCTGTAGAGGCCTCAAGA